TTGCAACTTTTCCACAAATCTAAAACTACTCTGAAAATGTTTATTAAAGGGGAAGAAGACACTTGAGATAATGAATTGAGAAAGGCAAGGTAAAAGTATGTCACAAGTTAAGATTTTTGAAAAATTAAGGGAAAGATTGGGGGAAAAGATGCCATAATATTTTTTTTAGTTCATATAGCATCAGTGCAGGTGCATTAATCTTCATTTTTGAAGTGGTGTGGTGCCTTTTCCTAGACCATCATCATCCCTTCTTATACAGTGTTAAGTAATATATAAGTCTGCATAATACTTAATTATGCAGACTTTTAAATAGAAATTGCAAAATCGTATACATTGATGATGAAGAGAGCTCAAGGATTCACATGTTCCAGCCTCCTTTCTTATAGGCTCTTGTTCTGGTTGGTAATTAAATAAGGATGTAGGACGCTAATGAGGTTGCAACTTTTTAAAAAACACTCAACAGTTACACAAGAAACAAGTGTTGGCGAGGATATAGAGAAAAAGGAACTCTTAGGCACTTTGGTGGGAACGCAAATTGGTGCGGTCACTGGGAAACCGTATGGAGGTTCCTCAAAAAGTTAAAAACGGAAGTACCCTACGATCCAGGAATCACACCCCGGGGTATTTACTCAAAGAATACAAAGACATTAGTTCAAAAGGATATATACACCCCTGTGTTTATGGCAGCGCTATTTACAATAGCCAAGCTGTGGAACTATGAAAGAGTCCAGATGTCTGTAGATGGATGAATGGATAAAGAAGATGTGATGTGGGGTGTGTGTGTGTGCGTGTGTGTACACACGCACACGCACACACACACAGGAAAATTATTCAGCTGTAAAAAATGAAATCTTGGCCGTTTTCAACAACATGGATGGAGCTAGGGAATGTTATGCTAAGTGAAGTAAGTCAGAGAAGGACAAATAACAAATGATATCTCTCAAACAGGCAAACCAAGAAATAGACTGTTAACTATAGAAAACAAACTGATGGTTACCAGAGGAGAGGTGGGGGGGGATGGGTGAAATAGGCGATGGGGATGAGGGAGGGCACTTGCTGTGATGAGCACTAAGTAATGTGTAGAATTGTTGAATCACTATATTGTAAACCTGAAACTAATATAACACTGTATGTTAATTATACTGGAATTAAAATCAAAAACTTTAAAAAAGATTCAGCAACTGAATGATGAAGAAAGAAGAAAACAGAGTAGGTTTTATCCTCTATTTTTGCCTGAAGATGTCTTAACTTTATCCGAAGGATTTTGTGGCTGTTACCTCTGTACTGCTTCGGCTGACTTGGCGGACTTGATTAGTAAAGCAATCTAATAATACCCCCCTCCACAGAGTCCTTGGGTAGGATGAGCTTTAACACCTGAATCTCCACCAGATGTCAGCCATTAGGCTAGGTGCTTCCATATTTTACCTGACGTGGGGTCCAGTGACATAATCTCCCCAGGTCCCTCACCCTGGATGTCAGACAGACATCCAGTGTATCTTCCACTGTTCCCAGCAACCCTGAGCTCAAGTGAGAAGTGGGATTCAGGTACTGGCTCAGCACTACAGCCTGGCCTCCAGCCAAGGCAAGAACACCTTTCCAGGGTTGTCAGGATACCAGTAATGTTACACGAACCTTTCCTCAATAACGTGCAGTCTGTCATGGTGAACTGTTTTGTTGTTGTTGTTGTTGTTGTTGTTGTTTTATTTTATTTATTTATTTGACAGAGAGAAAGATCACAAGTTGGCAGAGAGGCAGGCAGAGAGGTGGGGGGAAGCAGGCTTCCTTGCCAAGCAGAGCGCCCGATGCGGGACTCCATCCCAGGACCCTGAGATCATGACCTGAGCCGAAGGCAGAGGCTTAACCCACTGAGCCACCCAGACGCCCCATGGTGAACTGTATAAAAAAAATCAAGATTTCCTATTAGCCCTAAGATAAGGGAAGTTTTCTAGAGGAAAGTTCAGACTGTGTTTATATGGAGTGAATTTAGTAAAAGTAACTTGTTGCAGTGCTGCATCTGATCTTGTGTGAAAGAGCTTGCTGGGAGTCCATATTCATACTGTCGGAATAACAACTTATTTAATCCTATTTTTCTAATCTGTTTTAAACAGAGTCTCAGTCAAATCATTCTAATCAGTCTGACAGTGGAGTATCTGATACTCAGCCAGCAGGACACGTCCGCTCTCAGAGTATTGTGAGCTCCATCTTCTCTGAAGCCTGGAAACGTGGTACTCAGTTGGAAGAGTCCAGCAAGGTGGGTAACACACTGCTGTTAATTTATATTAAAAAAAAAATCTCTGCTGTTCCATGGGTTAGTCTGTTGCTCTTTTATTCCTTAATTAGAACTCTTTTGGGCCCTATTTCGGTATTCTTACTTTGACTTCTCTTCAGAAATGAGTATCTGTGAATTGGCTCTATTGACCTAAGATCTCAGACTGGCAATTTAACAACTTACCGATGGCTCAGACTTTAAGAAATAATGACTTCTTCCTTTTCACCCTTAATCAATTGGGATGAACCAATGCCATTTAATGCCAGTGCCCTAACTTTGTTTCAGAGAAGCTGCTAATGGTTCATTATTATTAATTTAATTTATTCAGACTCATTCCTTTGTCTTCTGTTCTTTCATGCTTTGGGGCATTTCTCTGCACATTGATGAATTTTCTCAAATTTTAGTACATGCAGAAGACTAAATTTAGATTAATCCCCTTAAAATTTTGGATCCCTGGGCTTTGTACGGTATCTTACTCAGTGACACTGAAGGACGAGTTATAATTGCAGGACTGTTGAGAACTATGTAGGTTCTATAGCCCGGGTGAAAGACAGCATAGAGGCCTGCCTCTGAAGTTCTGTGGGCAGCTTCGTGTCCTGGCCGCACTTGCCCTCTGAGCAGGAGGAGCTCGGGCCATCACTGAGGGACCAGTGGCACAGCTGGCCTCAGCGTTGTGTTTTTACCCAGTAACCACTGTGATTTTTTTGTTGTTTTGGTTTGAATCACTTACGCAGGAACACTCACCAATGAGAATTAAGTGGATAATTTCCCTTAATTTATTCCTTAATTTGCATATGTAGTCTACTCACTGCCCCTCAGCAAGAGGCGTTAATAGCCCAGTGTGGGGGTGGAACACTTTTGTCTTAGAAATATTTGAAAATTGGCTCTGATGACATGAAGTCTCAAAACTGTTTAACTCCCTTATCAGGGGCTCAGATTTTAAGAAGTAATTCCATCTCCCTTTCCGGATGAAACGGTCCTCTCTGGTGCTAATAACTGTATACCCAGTTAGAGAAGCAGATTTACACAATTCAGGTATCTAAAGAAAAGTCCTCTGCCTTACCAAATTGTTAATAGTGTTGACCATGTATGTGTTAAATGAAAGGCCAAGGGAAAAAACAAAAGGTCCAAACGCTCCGTGCTGAAGCAGCAGAGTTGGTCGGGCAGTTTCTGGCGTGCACCGTGCCGTGCAGAAGCAATAGTCTGTCTCTCTTGACCCCCACCTGTGTTTCTTCTGTTACCTCAGCCTCAGGTGCCAAATGAGAAGGCCGGCACGGCTAAGGTCTGCATCCCCGCAGCAGCCAAGACAGGGTCAAGTTAAGGTCAGGGGCTGTTCTTTGGAAGCACATTAACCTGGGTGACTCCTGTAACCAAGTCTCGCAGACTAATGCTTTTACTTCATGCAGTTTTTAAAGAAACGTGAGTGGCCTGGTGGGCCTTAGAATTCACCTCACCCTGAGCCTTCCAGACTACTAACCTGAGCATTCTTGATGCTAATAGATGTCATTTGTAATTTGGAAACAAATGGTTTCTCTTGGATCCTCACAGTCTGTTCAGAGAGCCTAAAACATTTGCCCAGACTTCATTAAACCAAGGGACCGTCCTTCGCTCTTTTCAAAGCACTTGAACCACATTCGTGCATGCGTGGCTCCATGACACAGACGACCAGATGTGGTAATCCTGGCAGTGCCTGAGGTACCCCCAGGGGCTGGTCAGCAGGTTGCTGGCAAACTCTAGCAGCCATTTCTGGCTACCTTTCCTTTAGTTCTCTAAGGTTTCCTCTCATTTCCTCCTGCCTTTTTCTGTATGATGTTTTTATAATCTTTTGCTGTAATGTTTATAAGGATTTCTTTATGTATTTTCCAGTAAAACAAATGTAAAGAATGCCCCCCCTTACCTGCATTGCTGGACTTCTGTGCATGTTGGATGCAAGTGTCTCACACGAACACGAGTGTGTGTGTCAAGCTCATTCATTCCTGTGTGACTGTGCACGCCCTGCTGAACATTCTCGTATTTCTCACGTGTCCGCTTGCTAGCATCACAAAGCCATCCTCATTCCTCAGGAGGCCCTCCGCCAGCACTCCTAAACCCAGTTATGGCATCTGCTTGATGTGGATGCAGCCATGGACTGAAGGGTGAACTCGAGCCATCACATCTCTGCTTGCCACAACCCGGGGGGGAGTCCGTGCACAGAGGTCCTCCCGCGGGAGCTCCTGTTCATGGCAGGTGTGTGAAACGGCTCAAAAGTCAGACAGCCCATCACTGATCAGCAGGACGTTTTCCCTAGATTGCTAGGCAGTCTTGCCACTTGAGAGTATTGCTGGGTGAACAAATTCCCTGTGCCTTTGTTGCCCGGGGATCCGATTTTCACCTTCCTGACATTGTCCCACTGCTGAATCCTTTCTCGCATGTCCCAGATTCCTTGCTGTTTGGTTTGACGCAGTCAAAGCTTACCTCTGTAACTGTTGTGTTTGTTGTGTTTTCTCTCTCCCCCCACCCCGCCCCCTTATGCTCCTTTTAGGCCAGAATGGAGTCTATGAACCGGCCCTACACCTCACTTATGCCCCCTTTATCCCCACAGCCCAAGCTGGTTACCCCCTACACTGCCTCACAGCCTTCCCCACCTCTGCCGCCCCCGCCTCCACCCCCTCCCCCACCCCCACCTCCTCCCCCTCCCCCTCCCCCTCCTCTGCCCAGCCAGTCTGCACCTTCTGCTGGCTCAGCAGCCACCATGTTCGTCAAGTACAGCACAATAACCAGGCTGCAGAACGCTTCCCAGCACTCAGGACCCCTGTTCAAGCCTCCACCACCCTCAGTGATGCAGTCTCTGACCTCCACCTCCCAGTCAGGAAAGCCTCAGATCCTGGTGCCCCCCAGTGGAGTCGTGCCCCCACCCCCTCCTCCGCCCCCGCCCCCCACCCCAGGCTCAGCCATGGCGCAGCTCAAACCGGCACCCTGCACCCCATCCCTCCCGCAGTTCAGCCCCCCACCCCCTCCACTGAAGGTTCATCACGCCCAGCATGCCGCCCAGGCGGCCCCTCCGACACCGCCGCCACCCCCTCCCGTCCCTGCACCCCTGCCTCCCCAAGCGCCCCCCAAGCCCCTTGTGACGGTGCCCCTACCAGCCAGCACCAAGACCGTGCCACCTGTTACGACACAAGCTGTGCCACCCACGCCTGCTCCTCCAGCTCCCCCAGCAAAAAAGCAGCCCGCTTTCCCTGTCTCCCACGTTCCCCCCCCTTCCCCTGCCCCCCCTGCTCCAGCCCCCCCCCCAACATTGCCTAAGCAGCAGAGCTTCTGTGTAAAGCCACCTCCGTCCCCGCTGTCCCCGGTGCCCTCGGTCGTGAAGCAGATCGCCAGCCAGTTTCCGCCGCCTCCAGCCCCTCCTCCCGCAGAGCAGCCCTTCAAGCCTCCCTCAGCAAATGTGGCCCCACAGTCCCCTCCTGCTGTAAAAGCAAAACCCAAGTGGCAGCCCAGCTCTATCCCTGTCCCCTCTCCGGATTTCCCTCCTCCTCCACCTGAGAGCAGCCTGGTGTTTCCCCCTCCTCCTCCTCCTCCTCCTCCTCCCCCCCCTCCCCCGCCCCCACCCCCACCCGCCCCTGCTCCAGCCCCTGCTCCAGCCCCGGCCCCGCTGCCTCTGACAGCTACACCCCCAGCTTCTGCCTCTGAC